CAGTGACGTCTCTTAGCTTCAGTAAGGTACATTTATGAATTGAAAAAACAAAAGCTGTGTGAATCTCACAAAAAGAAGATACACCAAAAGTAGTGACACCTTTTAGTTACAACTTTAACATTATGTATATATGTTGACCACTGATTTCTCTACTTCTGAAGCTTATACTTCTGTGTCTCTCAAACTTAGATCTGATAGTTTTCTCTGGTAGTTAAGTATATTCTTGCACTTACCTTTGTAATGTCTTAAAAATTCCAGATGAAATTAATTTTCTCATTTATGAGATTTTGAGCAACAACAGCTAACAGTAACTCTCAAAAAGAAAACTATCATAAACTTTTTTTCTATTCTATTTTAAATAGGATATAATCTAAATAACTACAAGAAAATGTGATGATAATATTGTTTCTTTCAGAAGCTATCAATAGCTACCTTAGAAGTCTTTACTTTCTCGTGATACACTAGATAAGGGCTTTCAAAATTACCAACATTAAAATTCACAGATGAAGGATGAATAAACACCTGAAAGAAAATTAGACATACTCAATTTCATGCAAACTAACTATAAGTAAACAGTAAATGATTTTTACATGGAATTTATACTAAAAGTCATAAATAACCTGTTTAGAATTTTGTTTTGCAAAAAAAAAAGACTTGTGTCAGCTAGATTGGAGAATTAATTCCAATAATTATACTAATGTTCAGTTTTGCACATACAATAAACCTAAACAATGATAACATTTATGCAAAAACTTAAAAATATTAAAAAAATTCTGATGAAATAATGGTAAATTTACTTAATTTTTATGTATAGTTTCCTTCTTAAGAAAAGCTGTTTACAAAACATCCTAGGTTATTTTAGTTAGGCTGGTGTATAGCTTCATTAACACTGAAGAGTCTTAAAAAATTTAAGTCTTCTGCATCAATATGCACAACTTCATTATATGGCAATATTTACAAGTTAATGAACACATCAAGGTTATTGAGAAACAAGTTATACACAGTTCCATCAAAATCAGAATTGTTTTAGCATTACCTAATACATTATTATAAATAGCATTCCCTTAGTTTTATTACTAACATAATATTGTAGAATAGTATGATCTTATAATACTGTCCAATATATGATTGCTAAAACAATAGCAGATATCAAAAGCAAATGTAGAAAACTATTCATATACCATAACCTAGTAAAAATGAATAAACATTAAAAAGCACTTCACATTTTGCACCCCTAGCTTTTATTACAATAAACTGTACTCACCAAACTTTACTGATATGTTTCCAAATTCCTGAGCATATTATTTAATATTTTAAAGCTTAATGAATTAGATATGCAATTGTCTTTTCCCCCCTTCTTCCATTTTACTTTAATTTGAACATATAAAAAATATTATATCCATTCACACTATTTCTTATTTCAATGATAACTTTAAAATCACTGGCTCACATAATTATCCCCTCTGGTTTTGAAACGCAGCTCTTCAGGTTTTGGATCTTTTCTGACTGTACCACCACTACTACTAGCATACCGCACCATTGGGGTAAGAACCTGAACAACATTGGGATATAGTGCTGCACAGAGTATTGCAGACACTAGTTTTAGGTTTTCAGAGTGAACATTAAACTGCAAGTAAATAAAACAGAAATATTGATTTCATTATAAATATATATTGATATATTACTATTTCAATGTTTTTTTTTCAGGAAAATTTTTCTTGTCTAAATGTTAATTTGTTGAGATTAACCATATTGACTAAAATAAAAGTTGTTCTTTGAGCCTTAACTCTTAATCTTAAACATATGAAATTGGAGGTTGCCAAGGGCAGAAAATCTGGAGTCTGGTACCTGCTGTGAAAAATACCTGGGAATTCTTGTCTGAGATGTCAATAGAAAAACATTAATTGTATTAACTGAAACTCACTGCAAAAGACATCAATAAGACATAACTGCTGAATTTTTTTCTGCAGATAAAAAAACAAAACAAATTTTGCAATTGAATGAAATGAAAGAAGTGATCAACCCATGGAATACTTTGCCTTCACGTGCAATAGAACTGCAACATTACAGCAATTTAAGAGGAGACTGGATGAGTAACTTTGAGAACAGAATTAGATAAAGGAAAAAGAAGGGGGGGTTGTATTTAAAGCTTGAAGTAGGTCAGCAGTAGAAAATAAGAGAACCTAGGTGGGATAAATGGCCCCTTGTTATCCCTTGGATTAAATTACACTGTGGAATTGTTATGATTATAGGAAAATAATATAGGTTTACAAAATAACAAATACTTTTTGTTAACTGCTTTAACTGCTCTGTTTGAAAGTCTATGTCGTGTACTCCTTTCTCAGTACAAAAACATCATAAATAAGTTATTCTAATCACAAATATGAGCAATTTATTTATAAGCAGTATTACATACGTTTTTGTTTATCAATTTTATTTGGATGTAATTTTACTCTATCCATATATATGTGAACACTACTGTTTTTAATGAATTAACAGGTACAAATTGCATAACATCAAAAATTAAACAAAAAATCTACTGTAATTTAAATTGTAAACTTAAAAAGTCACCTGAGATCCTGTAGTTTCCATGATTACATCTCCATTTTTTCTTGACATTCTTTCCAGATGGGAAAATGTCAAACCTTTTGGAGCAAAGCCTATAGTTGCTAAGAGTTCCACAAATTGGTGTTTCATGCTAGCTATTGTCTGCAACGTATTAATTGAAAGGAAATTTTCCCTACAGTAGTTGTAGCCTTTACCTTTCTTACATGCTTGTTTCCACCCCTGAAAATACAAAAGAACAGTTAAATACTCAATGATAAATCATATAAAAAAGTAAGTAAATTATGAGTGGTCATTTGTTGCTACCTTCCTTACTCATCAAAGAATAGGTAATAAAATCATCATTCCTTAAATATCTGAAGTTTTCAGAAAATTTTTTTATTCAATTACCAGATGGAGCTAACCTTATAAGCAAGAAAGCTTGAGTAGTTGCTTTCCTATTTATGATTCAATGGAAAACAGCAAAGAAATAAAAATTGTGAATGAAACGTCTTCTAATTTATCAAACACAGAAGCAATGGGAACTAGTGTACTTGCAATTTTATATAATGTTATTATCCACAATTGGGCTAAGTTTCAAACTTTTCCTACCTTTAGGAAAAGTATTTAATAGTTAACAAGACTACAGGAAAATCAGTTACAATAATTTCACAAATTTATGTGGAAGAAAAAATATTCAAAATTAAAATAAATATGTTACTTTGTAGGCTTTAAGTGCAGTAAGCTGATCACTCTTGCCAGCTGAAAATTCCTTTTTCTTTTTTTCTGATTCTTCTCGTTTTATAAATTCTGTTTTCTGGAATAAAAAAAAGCAAATTTACAAAACAAACAATTGGGCAAAATGTCCAGATCATTATTTCATGTTTAACAGTTTGAAATAAATTCAATGAATTGATTAACTGTATATGTTTTTTACAAAATAAAATCTAAACACAGAAATTTCTTTTTAGAACAAGTATTACACAATTAGTAGTGATTCATGATAATAGAATATATTACTTTCCAGATTTCCAAGAAAGAATGTTATACTTGTTTGTTTAAATTTGGTACAAAGCTACTTGAGAGCTACCTCCAATAGCCATCTCTAATTTCAAAGCTAGTCAAAACTACGCACCAGATATTCTTGGGATACTCTAGTCAAATAGTGAAATTTGACAGTCATCCTCTTAACACATTCATGGTTTCAAAAGTAAAGAGCACAATTTTTTTTTGTCCAGAAATGGAGCATAAACCATAGAGACTCAGATCCATATTTGAGCACACTAATCACTGGGTCATAATCCCCCCAAAATTTTAAGTAATGCTGTATGTTAAATTGTATTACTCATTAACTGAGAACAAAAAAAAACCCATAAATTTAAGTAAGTGGTAATATTTTTTTTTTACTATTTCATCCTCAGTTTAATTCAATAAAAAGCTACCAAAAGTGTGATAATGAGTATGCAAATACTATACACCTTATTCTCACACATGTATTTCTATTCTACAAAATTTTTGTGATGTTTCAATTTTGGATCATACTAGATCTGAGTGAGATTGTGTGCATAATTTCAGCCTGAGTTGTCACTTTTTGTAGATTACCTATTCAAAGAACTTATTTGCTGTTTCATAAAACAGTTGCACTGTGTCCTGCCTGACTCTGTGTTTGTGAGATACCTATCACATGGAGCAGAGATGTTTCCATATTTCGGTACCCTTTTTTTATGATTGGTCAACTACAGATAGGACTTCTTCAGGATCTGATATTAATTCTGTCTTTGTGCCATTTCCATGCTAATCATGTGATCTTTAGTTAAAATTGTACTAAACCTATCATCTACTGAATTTATCTTCTTTTTCCTAAGTTTGACTTATAGTCAAACAATACACTTCAAAGCACTGAATATGTGGTTTTACAAAAATCATGATATCACATTTAAAGGAAAACCACATACATGGATATGTTAATTTTATGTTATCAGTTTTGAAGCAACAAAATTCTGAAATACTCAATTTTTATTTCTTCATTTTTACCTCACAGTTTTTTATTGAAATTCTTTACTTTACATCTCCAAATGTTCAAATTAAATTACTATATACAGTAGAACCTCGAAACAACAATCACTGTGTCATTAAGGGTTGACCTCTTCAGTCTCTGTTTTTTTATTATTTGTAACCAAAATTAATCTTGCAATAACGGGTACCTCGAAATTCCGGATTAAGGGCACTGTCTTTATTCTCGTTCTTTATACGGATACTTGATAAAGCAGCCATTTTTCCCTTTCACTGTGGGCAGGTTAAAGTGCACATGTCATGACCTTTTAGAGTTTTTTCGAAATTTTATTAAATAACTTTACTATTACTAATAACACTAAAAGTACTCATAATCTTTGTTTTTCAATATATTTTTTATTTATTCTTCCATGTTTTAATAAAAATAACTAAAATTTCAGCATTTGTGAATAAAGAGTATTTATTGGTTGATTAATAAGTTTGCTGAAAGGAAAACAAGATTTTATAACTATGCACAGAAGTGTTTCCATTTCTCTGGAATCAAAGTGGACAAAGAAATTCCAACAGTTTCTGGGGATGACGAGGAAGACAACATTCCATTGAGTGAGCTGATGGTGCATCTTTCAGAGATAACTGGAAATTAACAAATGTTTAATGCTGCACAGTTTGCAGACTAAGACAAAGATGTGCCAGTCACAGAAGAATTGTAAATAAAATTGCCTGAAAGTCTTCTCAAAGTGATTACACCACTTCTGATGATGAGAAGCCAACCCCTTTGCCTGAGCCAGAACCACCATCCACCAATATCAAGTCATTCATGCAAGCACAACAATGGGCTTTTGACCTAAAACAATTTGCACTTGAGCAAGGTTTTTCAGACATTTTAGACACTGTCATGACTCTTGAGGGTCAATTGTACCAGTGTAAATGTGTCAAACAACCATCTATTAAAGACTTTGTTTTACAAACACATAACCAATGATGTAAAGAATAAGAGTACAAGTTTTCTATACATATATTTGTGCTCATGACCTAATGTGTGTGATGAACAAATGCATGGTTTTACATGTACATGTATTTTCATACCTATGGAATAGAAATAAATTAAAAACACATATTGCTTTGTTCCATCTATTTAATGTTTTTACAGTATACACAAAACACTGTTTCAATACATGTAACACAAATGGCATTAAATGCATACACCAAACAAAATGGGGAGGAGTCTTAAAAATCAGAAATTTAGTACATTCAGTAAGGAATCTAACTTTGCGTGGCTCGTTATTGATATTAAGGGCACGTTGCTATAGAGGGCACTTGGATGCAGTCAAAGGGGGTTCAAGGTTCTATTGTATCTACAATATGAGCTCTTACAACTTATAACAGTCCAATATGTTTTACTTTCACCAACCACCCATTGGCACAAACAAAATATGAACAAACTTTTACATAAAACTTACAAATGGAGATCTGTAGCTCAAACAGGCTGCAATAGTAAGGGCAGAATCTAAACATTGGAACATGGACCCAAACAGCATCAATTTTCCAATCCTTTAAAATACAAAAATACACTTCAATCAGAAATGAAATAGATAATTCCTAAAGATTCTTAAAACATTCAACTTAAACCTACCCCAACCATAGGGCACCTTTCAGGTATTACACACACACCTGCGTATCAAATTTCAAAATTTAAGCAGAAAATAAACAATTATTTAATGTAATTCATGAAAAATGTTCCAACTCTTCACATCTGCACTGCTCCAAGGAGTCTCATATGAAAAACACAACTTACTGTTTTTTTTTATAAAAATGTCTTTACCTATCCCAAAGCATAGGTTTTACTTGCTAAGAAACTATCATCCCTCAACAATTATATTATCTATTTCTTATTTCTCATGTGATTTTCGTTCTAGAGCCTTTCGATCCCACCCTTTTATGATGTCCCAGTACGCAGTCTGAACAATTACAATACTAATGAAGCACAGCTTTCTAACTTACTAGAGGTAAGATTTAAATATGAGTGGATATAGTAGATTATAAACTAATTATGTCAACGTACACAGAATAAAGTGATGTAAGCAGTTCTGTATTTTGTTGGAAAGTGACTAGATAGAACTCCTGGAATCTAATGAAAATTTAGAAGACATAAGAGCAAATCTCACATCTTAATATTTTCTATAATTTCTTCAGACGTAGTTTTCATTCCTAAAAATTTTTTCATGTGAAATTGTATTTCTTTTAAAGTTATAGAAATTTTCTTCTATGACAAGACTTAAGGTAAACTTGAATGTCAGTGTTAAGTTTATCGTATTCAAACAATGCACATAAATGAAATAACTTATTATTAATTTACAAAAAAATATATTCATTAGATAAAAATTGGTCTTGGCCACAAATATTGTTTGCAAATATATTATTACTAAGCCTGAAAAAGTTAATTCTAATACCATGTTGAAAGATGACCAATAAGTCTTTGCTAGTTTTTACTATGTTTTATACGATTTATAGCCAGAAGTGGTGAATGCTGCAATTAGTAAAATTAAAAATTAAAAGTTCATGAAAATCATTCACGTTGAAAACTGACTGGATATATTAAATGAAACTTTTTGATCAATAGTAAAAAAACATTGAAAAACTAAAAAAAGGCAAATATCTCTATGTTTTTGAAAACAGTGTCCAACAACAACATTTTGGAAATATCACAACCTAAAAAAACTGATAGAAAAACTACATCAAATTATATTAATTTTTTAAAGCCAAAACTAATTACAACTTATTGAAGTGTTTACGTAGTTTCAGGCAATTTGGTTAAGTGCTTTCCACTTTAAGAAGAGAAAAATCAAGGGATATCAGTGATACCACTTCAGTCTGGAAAGGGTTAAGAATACCAACATTACAACAAAAATAAAAACCTTTGCAGTCATGACTGACTTATTCAGCATGAAGAAAGATTCTGTGCTAATGACAATTGTGAAACTAATACGTAAAACATATATTCCTAAACTTAATTTCTAAAGTAAGTGTTAAAACTAAAAATCATCTATATCACATATCATTCCTTGTTTGTTTTAGTACGGTATAATCTGCTTTGGATACACAGGGAATTACTATATCCCTCAGGTTAGCTAGACATAAACTTATTATCCTAATGAATTATTATATCCATCAGGTTAGCTAGACATAAACTTATTATCCTAATGAATTATTATATCCATCAGGTTAGCTAGACATAAACTTATTATCCTAATGGTTTTATGAAATGCAATTTTTTTTGTTAGTTGTAATTTGTCAAAATGCTCTACAAGACAAATAAAAAGATTTTCATTCATAAACATTTCAAACTTAATAAATTATAAACATAACTTACTTTAATTCCTTCACTGTAGCAGCAATGTTTTTTCCAAATACAGAACATGTTTTTTGGTAATTCTGATATAATGTTGCTATTGTTCCTATATATTTTCAAAGCCACTAAAACAGGTTGTTTATTTCATGGTTGAATCCTTTGTTTTGTGATATTATATTCATTCATCTTTTAGTAGCATTGGAAAAAATGACTTGCATGACATTTTGAGGCTTACTGAAATTTATTCATCTGAATATACGCATATGCAAGACACAGTTTGCTGGCACCCAGTATTCAAAACGTATTTGGGATAAATCTTAAGGCTTCTCTTACATTAGCTGCTTTGACTTTTCTGGGATGATAGGGGTAAGCAAAAAAAGTACCTGTCAGCACCTATTCAAAACCGTGGTGGACAGTCAACTGTCATCATAGCCACAGATGGTTCCTACACCACAGATAGCTAGAGAGCTGGCTGGGAACTCATTGTCTTACAAAGCAACAACATCCTCCATAAGGATGGTAGAGCATTCAAGTTTCCTAAAAATGACATAAGGATAGAGGTTAAGCTGCAAAGAAGGCTCTTCTCTGTATGGCTGAAAGTAACAGCTATAAACTGTAAACAGACAGTGTCACCAACATAATATTTGTAAATGACTCGCATGTTGAACTACATATAGTTTAGAATGGTTGTACCCCAGATGTATGGCTAAAGACAAGGAAACTGTGTGATAAGACAATCACATGGATATGCATGCCGGGCCATGCTTGTGTAAAAGCTAAATGAAGAAGCTGACCAGCTTGCAAGAAAGGCCCCTATATCAAATTTCATACAATTCTAGTGACAGGATATTGACTTCTTCATTAGTAAGCCAAAAATGGCAATGATGGAAGGTCTTTCACAACATTTGGATGGAATGAAACTGGTGAAAAACGAAGTACTGTATGGTGTAGATAGAAAATTAATAAGACATTATACAGACAGAAGGCCACTGGTAAAATTATCTACAGAACTCTCTTCTATCTTCAACAAAGCAGGCAATCAGTCTCCACATAAGGAGTTAGTGTCTGTTAGTGCAAACCCTGGAACTGTCACCTAGTGCTTAACTATGGAATGGTAGAGAGAAAAATATCTTTTTACGAATTAAAGCACAGTTGATCCTTTATATTTTTAAATTAACAAAGGCATATATGTCTGTGAAGATATAAAGACAGGAGGTTAGTATATCCTATAGATTCTACAGTAAAGCATACAAATACATATAGATATCACGCCATAGGCCCTATAACACAATACAGTGAAAGATTTAAACTCTAATAACTACTATATTACAAGTACACTTGTTTTTCATTTATAAACAGGAAGTTCTACAACACATTCTAACTTTGTTTTAACACAACTATTGAACATTCAAGAATTATTGACATGTCGTAATCATTCCATTTGACATTGGTGAAATCTTTCAATAAAGATGTTATTTCTCAAAAATGTGATTTATTTAACAATTAAAATATTCCCTCATTTTTAAAATTTATGATCTATATAATGAAGCTAACAACTTACCTAACATCCACAGGTAAAGATGCAATGTGATATCCTAATGGTGTCAAGTCCTGATAAAAAGTTTTCTTATGCACATTTACTCATGATTGTTTCAATTTATTACACTAAATTACACTATTTTATCATTCACCTACCGAAAATTTTAATGAAAAGATTATTACAAAAATATTTTAAGTGTCCAACAACAAGAATAAAACAAGATATAAAAAAATCTATCAACAGTCAAACCAAAATGGGTTTATTTACAAAATACCAAGGAGCTGTTTAATAATAATACGATTGAACAATAAGGCCCTTACTTATTCTTATTCCACATATTCACTGCTCATTTTAATTTTTATCACACTGTTTTCATAAAATGATAATTTTTTCATTTGAGCTTGTTGTGTTTAAATAATTATGTACATACAATGTTCATTTTCTCCAAATGTTATATAATCAAATAGCTTTAGAAAATAAATATTTTAAAAAGTTCTAAACTGGCAATGAAAGCCAAATGACGAGTTTTTCATACTTTGTGACTTGACTGAGAAAATACACAGAAAATAATAACAAAAAAATTCATTTTGAAATTAGTATTATTAATTACATAACTTTTATATAAATTTACATTCATATAAGAGATTAATGACTTTGAACTAAATTTTAGTGCTTTAAATGCAATTCTATCTGAAGTCAAAATTAACAAAATGCTAACCTCCATCTTATCAAGAGCTCCCAGCTCTTGTAGTCTGTTGACAGCCATTTTCACACTCTCACTTGGTGGAGGTTCCAAAGTGGAAGACAAAACATCCTAAAATATTAGATGTTAAATATATATATAAACCTCAACTGAAAAACATCTTTTAGATTTATATTTTGACAAGACTAAAAGGAACAAATAAACTTATTTGTTGGTAAATGTTGGTAGACCACGTACTATTCTCAAATCTTGAAGCTGATAAGGCCACAGTTAAAACTGAGAATAACAATAAATCATTCACACTTTGAACCTTTGTGCATGGCTTGGTCCTTTGGTCTGAGCACCAGAATGTTGAAGCTATACATACAAGAACTCTAAATTTACTAAGTACATCTTCATGAAATTTTGCAAGCTTTTAGTAAACATTGCCAAAGATTTGTCTGTGAATTTCCAAAACCTTTACTGAGCCAATATGAGTGAAAGATGATTTTCATGCTAAAAACAAAAATATTTCTTTTCACCTTACTGTTTTCACATTCACTTTGCATAACCTCTAAAATCTCTTAAATGAATATCATAAGTTTTTTTGATAAAACTTGTATTATCTCTACTGTAACACTAATAGCTAAATTTGAATGTACCTCGAAATTAAAAGTTCAAAGTTATGAAAGGAAATTAACAAAAACTCTTTTTTTCTTTGTCTTTGAATGCATCATTCATGGTCACATCTTCAATTAATGATATTCACAATTTCAACTGTTAACCTTTTCACATCTACTTTCTTTTAATTTTATGGTTTTATTGCCTAGCTTGTACCATATAAGCAGTTTAATCATTTGTAAAAAGCAATATATTACAGCAAAAACACATTAGCAGATTGTTGTACACAGACATAAAATGTTTAGCTAAATAGGCTTAGTTTTTTTGTCTAAGTTTATTATTCAAACAAAAATTCATGTATTCAAGAATAGAATGTCCCAAAACTACAATCATTTAAATGGCTTTTTAACTAAACCATAAATATGGTTAAAAAATTTAGTTACTGCTATAAGCAACAGCTTTGCTTGCACATATCTCAATCACTTCCATTTGATTAACTTATACTTACATCATATTTAAAAAGACAGTCAGAAGCTTCAAAAAGTAAAAAATATATATATCTGTTGATTGTAAACACATACATCAATTAAGAATATGTGGTTTAGAAAATTGACCTTAAAAATTAAGGATAAATGGACAGGGCTTTTCTATTGTGGGTTGGAAAGATACAATGATAGCTCAGTAAATAGAGAAAAATATAAAATTGCAAATTTGACCTTATCATTATTTATAGCTTGTGTTATATTAGTTAGACACTGCAAAAACTATATTATTGAAGTTATACAAACTAAAATGAGGGAAAAATTTAAAACATAGACACATCATGTGACAACACAAGTGAAGATTGAGAATTTTTTAAGTATTTCCTTTTTAAATTAAGAAATTAGAAGTTATATAATACAAAATTAATTATAAACTACATTCTGATTCTAAGTTTATTGACATACAATCAAAATAAAGTTGTCTAATTAAATTTTGAATGCTATTCTGTAAAATGTTGTGACATGTGCACATCAACAGATGCCTTGCATAAAGGGTTAATGGGTTAAACAATAAAATAAAGTTGTCTAATTAAATTTTGAATGCTATTCTGTAAATGTTGTGACATGTGCACATCAACAGATGCCTTGCATAAAGGGTTAATGGAGCTACGCAATTAACTGGATTGCCTATAATCATTGATTACATCAATTAGTATCATGTAAAATAACAAATGAATCAAAATTACTATTAAATCAATTAATGTCAAGAAAATAATCAACTAACTGAAATTAGTGCTTCCAGTTTTATTACTGTTTTCAATCATTCCAACTATACATGTAATTGAATTATTTCCATATTTATTTCTCATAATTATTTTTGATTAATTCAAGGACATTTAGCTTAATTGATTAGTGTCACAACTTGCAAAAATACATTATCAATTAATAAAAATTAGTGTTTCTCATTATTACTATTTTCAATTATTCCAACTATTAAAGTCTCCTGTGAGAATAATCAATTAATTTGCCTACTGATTAATTGATTACCAAATTCCACTAACCACCCAGCTTTACACTTTAACCTTCCAATTACATTGTTTCAGGTCATATTGCCTGGCTGGTTCCACATACGCAGTTTATTCATTTGTAAAATGCAATACATCACAGCAAAAACACATACAAACTAAAAGTTTAGCCAAACTGGCATCTTGTTTTTTATTTCAGGTCATATTGCAAGTTAGAAAAAATTGAAATAGCCTTGCATCATAAAAATATTTTTTCTTGGCTCAGGTTTTACTCTTTTATGATAAATATTAAGATTTCATGTAAACTATCATTATAATAAAAGATGTATTTAACTGCATCATAAAGTTACGGAAACTAGTGTTGTGTCAAACAGATCTGAAACATAAAGCTTAATACATGTAATTATATTTTCACTTTTCAGAGAAAATAAATATTGTTTACATAACTGGAACAAAGTAAACAAATATTAATAGTATTAACACGTGAAAATGCAACAAAAACAGTACTAAAGGACAAGAAATTGGACAATATTTTACAGAGTCGGTAGTAGTATCATTACAGTTTTTAATAAAACAATCTAATTTTGAAATGATATACCAATCAGATTACTTTTGGAAAGTACTTACAAAACTATTAAAATATGAAATAAAACTATAACAAAAGAATGAAAACATAAACATACCAAAAAACACAACATAGCTTTAGTTTACTTTCTGGATTTTTAAGTGCAAACTGTTTTTATTCACTTGTAAATCATCTTCCTGCCATTTATATTTAGATATGATTTTTATTTTATTAACAGGCCCCTCATGAGCCAGTGGGGAACATTTTCATTGTAAAAAACAACAAATACCCAATCCAGTTTTCTTAATGTGACATGTACAGCAAAATTATTTCATTCATTAAGACTACAATAACTTATGTAAATTACACAAACTCTTGAAAAATAATAATATAATTATGAGGTTTAAGATGAGCATGATTTCCACAAAAGTTATAGTTTTCCAAAAGAGAAAATGTCTTTCCTACAGATACTTACCTCCTCTCACATAACAGCTTTTTCGTTCAGTATTCCCCATTATATTCACAAATTTTTTAGCTCGCAACTAGCTCTGAAACTACCAACTACCTCACGTTTAATGTGGTTCTGCTATGTCTTTGCATGCAAATAAGCATGTGGCAACCGTTTACCAATAAGAGCGTGACACATTCTCCTGATGCAGCATTCTATTTTAGTGACATTAATACAATGAAAAAAAAACTAATTCTTTCTTTTCTGATTTTTCCAATTACAATTTCTTCTAACATCTTAAAATATATAAGAATGTGCATAACATTGGTCTCAAATATTGTAAACATAGTAGCACTGGTCACTAGTCAAGATTTCTCATTATCTAAGAAAGGTATTGTCATCTCAGATATACTTAATATAGCTATATAATTGTAAGTGTATGTACATATTACATTCAATACATTACAAAAGACACTAAGGTTGAACTGCTTTTCAATTTTTCCAATGGTTCATTATTACAGTCAAACCATTAGAACTTTGTTTGTTTGTAGTTAAATACAAAGCTACACAATGGGCTATCTCTGCAATGTCCACCACAGGTAGTGAAATCTGGTTATTAGCATTATAAATCTTGAGACTTACAGCTGAGCTATGGGGGCCATTAACCCATTAACTGCGGCAGGAGCAGTTCAGTTGCCGTTTTCTGACTCACAGATAACACTGAGTTGCCATCAATCACAATAAAACAGTAATTTTCGTCATTTGCGTAGAGTTATAGTTATACATGTGTGACTGATGGATATTTTCGCCATTCACAGCTGAGCCATAGAACTTAAATGACGGAAATATCCATCATCCGCAGTTAATTGGTTAATAATATGAAATAGTACCCAATTTCAGAATATTTTTATTATGGTACACTATAGCTTTATATTAGATGTGAGAACTTAAAAACCAACAGCTGACAAATGCATCAAATAAGATGTAGTTCTGCTGAACCATATCATTGAGATTAAATTTCAGTAATAAAAACAGGTTACAGACTAAGACAAATCCATCAACACAAGAGAATGACAACAACCAGGTACCCAAGCATAGGAAATATATCTCCCTTTTCTAAAAATATGAACTTATCCACTACCTTTAAAACAATTCAATATAGGTTAGTTGTAAACTTGAGGTCACAATATGTATTTATTAGGACAAACATGTAGTACTTCTACTCACCAGAACAGACTTTTTGGCGAAGATTGGCATTAACTTTACTCTCAGGACTATCTGTTCCAATGGAATTCGTTGAATTTCTACAAAAATTACAAGATTTCCATTACACTATTTCAATGTCTTAACTTTCTTTGTATTTGAATAATGAAGGGTCAGCTTTCTGTTTACATCACCAACTTTGCTGATTCTTTTATTTATTTTTTCTATAATACCATACTCCCATAAGAATGTTTTTTCATAGTAGCTTTTCCTTTGTTTTTAGAAGAAGACTCTTGTATACAAATAAACTCTTAACTACAGAAGTGCTTAAAATTAAGGCCTAACACCTCCAACTATGCAAAATATTTCTTTTTCCTAATATTACTCATATTTCTTAGTGAAATATTTTTAATAAAATAAAATATAAATTTGTCCATTAATATATTGAGTATTTGTTTTGAATAGTCCGTGTGCAATGTAATTTTCATGTTAAAATCAAAAATACTTTTCCTCATCTCAAAAATTTCAAATTTCCTTTGTGTAACCCCTAAAATCTCCTAAATACATTTCAAACGTTTTTTTTTCTTCAGTAAAACTTTATAGTTTATCTATTATTTTCTCTACCCTACCAGATTGGTCATTTCGACTGACCGCGTAACCACCAAAAAAAAATCGAGGAACCTAAATTAACCTTTTTTCTTTCTAGAATGACTTTAAATTGTAACATGAAACTACATTCATTTATCCTAAGTAGCTCTAGTTCGTAACATTATACATCTATTTATAATTAAATGTTATTGTTTTATTGCCCTTTGAACCATGTCTAACTACTATTCGTGCCATTATAAATTGTAAATCACTCGGGGAACATGCAGCTCACATTACACTATCGAATTACATTACCCACAAGCTGCTCATCCCCTGTGTGAAGTTATTTAAGACTAGATTAGGTAAAATAAGTAATAATAATAATATAATTAAAATGGTTCACAAGGTTATTGCTCAGACAAAGCATAATTTTTATAGTCTTCAATTTTGTTTGGATACAGAGCTATTGCATATAAAATCAAACCCCTCCTGCCACAACCTCTCTTTCACAATTCGTTAATAGTTCTCTCTTACATTTCTTTATATATTACCTATAAACAACAGAAAGTGAAGGTTTTCATCTATCAAATGACGTATTGTATAACACTGTGTTCGGAACAGATAATCGTCAATTTCACTCAGAGTAGCAACATTGTTCCCGTTGGAAAGTTAATGACTAGCTTGGATGAACTTGTAACAGCTCTTGTTGCTTAGTTAGAAAGCCAGGAAAATTTTGAGAGGTAAGTGAATTTGTCTATATTTTGCATGTTATTAGTCTATATTCTTTGGTGCATTATTTAATTAAATAAAAAATTATTAAGTGCATTAATATCTATAGTATAAAAAATGAGGATTAACTCTCTTCGAAACCGATAGCAATTAAAAAGAAGATCAGTTAAGTACTTTATTTCTTGTTTTTCATATTTATTCTTTATTTATGATTGTAAAAGTAACTAAAATCTAAAAATACAGATCTTTTTCCGATTTTATAGAGAGCATTTTACATTTAATTTCATACATTTTCGAGGGGTGATGGATAAAATAGGGATGATGACATGCTAAGACAAAATTTGTCATGTGTGGTTACACTAGTGGAAATTCAGGATTTTTTATATATTTCCTTTTAGAATGAAGAAC